CAATTGAGTCTCTAAACAACACAAAATAATCATGCAATTAGGTCCAAAATGACCTGTTTACCTGGAAGAGCATGTTACCGATTTTTAAAATAAAATAATTTATTAAATTTTTTTTTTTTAAAAAAAAACCTAATCTACCGCCGAAGGTTCGTCTCCCTGGCTGGAGACGAAGGGACCTCTATGGTCGGTGCGTGGTCTCCGGCCATGGAGTTTCTCCCTTCGTCTCCATGGCTGGAGATGAAGGTTCCGACCATGGAGACGAATCTAGTAGATTAGGGTTTTTTTTTTTTTTTTTTTTTTAAAATTTTAATTAATTATTTTATTTTAATTTATTTTTAAAATCGGTAACCTACTCTTCCAGGTAAACATGTCATTTTGGACCTAATTGCATGATTTTGTGTTGTTCAGGGACTCAATTGCATTGTTTTTGAGTTGGATGGCCTAATTGTAGTTTGGTGTACAGTTGAGTGACCTATTTGACCCTTATTCCTTTGATTTTATTATGTAACTATAAGACTCCCAATATGAGGCCAATCGTTATACCCTACACCACGGCGCATAGTGCACTGTGCGCTCCGTCGTTTTGGGAGGCACGGTAGGAAGTTGACATGATTATGTATATTTGTTTATACAATTATGTATATTTTTTATTATGTACATTTTTTATACAATTCTGTACATTTTTTTTATACAATTATGTACATCCGAATAAGGAAATTTTTGTGTATTATGTTAAGAGTTGATGTGTATTATGTTAAAAGTTCATGATTATTATGTATTATCTTTGAACAAATTACACTTTTGGTCCTATGACTATAGGGGGCGTGTTAATTTCGGTACGTGACTTTTAAAACTAACAATTTAGTCCTTTAACTATGTTTTTTTAGCGGATTTGGTCCTCCCAGCCAAATCACCGGTGAAATTTGGACGGAAATACGTTTGCCATTTTAATTTATTTAATAATGGGGGCAAATTGGTCATTTCATGTCCCTTTCTTCTCTTTCCTTCACTTGCTGGCCGGAGTTTTTTTTTTGGGTTATGCTGGCTGGAGTTTGTCTTTGCGGCATCACCAAACTGTTGAAGGCATCGAAACCCCAAATGCTCAGCACAAAACCTCTCCATATCTCCATTCCCGCTTTCCTTGCACACTTGGCTCTCGATTGTCTCGAGAACATCATCCCAGTCCCTCAAAATTAAGCCTTGAAATTAGGCATGCATAAAATAAATATGAACCAAAAGTGAAAAACACACAATTCCAATGGTTCGGAGTAAATATAAAAATCAATCAGCAAAAAATGATCTCACAGAAACGTCAGCAACGAAAACCGATATATAGATCATCGCCATCTATCTTGGCGGCGGCTTCAGCCACAGTGACCTTCGGCTTCTTTTGCTTCTCCTTCTTCTTCTCATCCGCAGCTCCATTCTGCGTGGCTCTGCCACTTCCAAATCGCTATCCTCGTCATCGGAACGATTCCTCGCGGCTGATCACACATGAGCATCGTCGTTAGCATTCATCGCGGCATACTGAGCTTCAATTTTCCCGCGGTGCTCCTAGGCATACTTCTCCAACCACTTGAACACATTGTAGGCGTCAGATCCATTATATTGGTGAACGTGATCCTCGAGGAATTGAAGCTATTTTCAGCTTATTTTTAACACTTAAAATGACCAATTTACCCTCCTAATATTTAATTTAAAATGACAAACGTATTTCTGATCAATTTTCATCGGTGATTTGGCCAGGAGGACTAAATCTGCTAAAAAAACATAGTCAAATTAAAGGACTAAATTGTTAGTTTTAAAAGTCACGGACTGAAATTAACACACCCCCTATAGTCATAGGACCAAAAGTGTAATTTGTTCTATTATCTTTTAAAAAAGAGTATGTGTATTTTGTTATATAATTATGTACATTCATGTATACAATTATGTGTATTCTAGTATAACATTATGTACATTTTTGAACATGAGATTTTTTTTAAAGGAAAATTAACTGCCAAACACTAGGTAGCGAAATTGTTTTTAAAAAATAAAATATTGAAACGACGTCGTTTTGCATCTGGGCGCACAATGCAACGCGCGCCGTGGTGCAGGATATAAATTGTTATATGAGACAGTCTAGAATTCTTATTCCTTGTAGGGCTCTAGGCCCAAAATATGTATAAATAGACCTCACACGTAAGGAAGGGGAACAACTTCCCGTATTCACAGAGCAATATTCATTAATACAAAGTTACTATATTTTCACCATATATTTCTCCTATATTCTCGTTATTCTAACGGTAGTGTTGGCCGTCATAAAACCAACAAAGTCGAGTTTTAGCGGGATAGTATTGACTCGTTAGGCTTCAGTCAAATATTATATGTAACATGATCAATAGTACTAAAAAAAATAATAATAAAATAAAAAAGTGAAGGTCCGATCGTGTGTGCGTGCTGGATGCGTGCGGCTGATGAGCATGCATGCTTATTTATAAAACACGATCCTTAATTCCTTATATTTATAAAATTCAAACATATGGGCAGAGATGGCAAAAAGTAATTTATTTAAAAAAAAATTTAAAAATATCAAAAACTAAAATGAATGTTCACACTTATTCGATGTCTAAAATTGAGAAGCTAAAAGCCAAGGAAATTGGATGATTGACAGACAATACATTCCATTTCCAGCACAAGAAAAAAGATGTCAAAGGAAGATAGGACATTTTTTTGGCAGGCAACAGATCTTAAGACCATCACTAACTGCACTGAATTGAAGGTCCGATCGTGTTCGTGCGGGGCGCGTGCGTGTGGCTGAGCACGTGGGTTTGTGTGTTGTATGAATTAACTTAACTGTGTCGGAATTGAAGGTTGATTTGTGGAAGAAATGGCCGGCATGAATAGGGATGACTTGCTTCATCTGCTGCTTTAGTTCTTAGAAAAACAAAATTACAAGGAAACACTTCATAGGTAATTAGGAATTTAGGATTAGGAAGCTAAGCTTTATTATATTTTACTTGAATTGAATTGATACTTAAAGATAAAAGAGTGTTTTTTGGAGATGTGTGTGGATTTTTGGGCTGATTTTAATTTGTTGATGAAATTTGGAATTACATACTCACTGCAGTTCAAAGAGTCACCTCATTGAGGTTCGATCCTATGACATTCTTTCAAGGGGAGCTATATATGTGTCATTTAAGCACAAAATGTTTGGCAGTGTTCTTTAACTTAAGGTACTTTAATTTGAAGAGAAAGTGATTCAGTGGGAGTGGGATATGATTAACTTGAGAAGTATATATCTTGCGTTGTGTATTATGATCTCAAAATAACCTTTAAATTAGGTACTTAGCCTACAATTAACCGTTTTTGTACTATAAACAAATTGAAAGCACATTACATAGTAATTACATACAAATAATATGATTAGTATAGATGCATAAACGGTTAACTACATATACAGAATATGTTAACTACATACACAAAACATATTAACTAGACCTGGCAATTATCGACACGACACGAAAATAGCGGGTTAGTGTTTAGCCTTAACGTGTCCCGGGTTGTTAACAGGTTGACCCGTTAAGGACCCATTATGTTTCATGTCTTAACGGGCAACCCGTTAAACCTATTAAGAACCCATTAATATTATCATGTTAACCTGTTAACACGAACCCATTTACCCAACCTGTTTATAACCCGCTAATAACCATTGTCATGAATGAAATTACAAAAGATATTATGAACATCACTAATGATGAATTTACTACATTAGGTCAAGATCCTACGCACCAATTCTTGATGTTCAACAATTTGAAATTTGAATTTTTATTGTGTTCAATTTTATTCTAAAAACTAGTATGGACTAATTTAATTATAATTTTTAGATGTTATTTTATCATTTTATGAATGTTATGAATTGAATATGTTTAAATTTCTTTAATAGATTGAACTGTAGGTTTTTTTTTTTTTTTTTTTTTTTTTTTTTTTTTTAATATAGAACTTAACTTTAAATTTTAGTTTTTTTTTTTAAAAATATATATTAATAGAAATACCGGGTATAAACGGATTTCGTGTCATATCGTGTCGACACGACTTGAAACCTGTTAACAAAACGTGTCTATCGTGTCAACCCATTAATAAATCGTGTTTGTGTAAAAAATTTGAACCCGTTAATCATAACGTGTCGTGTCCGTGTTTAGCCTTATCGTGTTCGTGTCGGTTATTGTGTCCACCCGTTAACAGACCCGTATACACGAATTACCAGGTCTAAATTATTAACCACCATGGTATGTGTCTGTAATGAACATATTATGTATTTGTTGTTAACAATTTATGTGTTGTAATCATGTTACATATAAATAATTACCATGTTATATGCTTTCTATTTATTTACAGATACAAAAAATATTAATTATATATACAAAATATGTTAACTACAGACTGATAATTTTTTAATCAAGATTCACAAGATAATGGCCCTGTTTGGTAAAATGGCTGTTAGCTGATAGCTGTTTGCTGTTTGCTGTTAGCTGATTGTGTTAATTAAAGGGTATAAATAGTTGATAATATTAGATGATTGTAAAAAAGTGTTTGGTAAATTAGCTGTTAGCTGATAGTTGTTTGGTATAATTTATTTTCTCAAAAAGCTAATTGAAAAAATTGCTTGGAGTAGCTTTTTGAATTTTAGCCTTTTGGAGTTGCAAAAAGCTAATTAACCAAACATTTCTATTGATATTTTAACTAAATCAAACAATTAATAGTGGTCAAATAAGCCAAAATTGGCCTATATACCATTTTTTTTACCAAACAGGGCCAATATAAACTAATCCATGATACAACAATTGAGTAATGTATAAATAAAGATTTAAAAGCATTCCCTAGTTTAATTTATAAACAAAGGTCCAAATCAGTCCAAGACTTGGGCTAAGAGTTAGAAGTTGTTGGCCCAAAATCATTATTTATAGCCTAAATTAACGACCTGACCCGGCCCAACATAGAAACACAAATTCATAAAGGTTCTCAGAATCATAGCCCCTAACCTCATCTAAAATCGTAAAGGGAGTTGAAGAAGGTAGAGAAGAGTGAAGAGAGTGAGAAAGAATTAAAAACTCAGTTTGGCAATGGACCGAGACTGGGGATCGAAGCCGGGGAGCGGAGGAGCCGCCTCCGCTCAGAATGAGGCAATCGACCGCCGCGAACGGCTACGGAGGCTAGCCCTTGAGACGATCGACCTCGCCAAAGATCCTTACTTTATGCGAAACCACCTTGGAAGCTATGAGTGTAAGCTTTGCTTGACTTTGCACAACAATGAGGGAAATTACTTGGCCCATACTCAAGGGAAGCGCCACCAGACCAATTTGGCTAAGCGAGCTGCCCGCGAAGCCAAGGAGGCGCCTGCTCAGCCGCAACCTCATAAACGCAAAGTCTCGCTCAAAAAGACCGGTATTGATTTGTATTTTTTCTTCTCTTTTAAACTTCAATTTATATTCCATTATCATTTCTGTTCACTCATAAATTCATAAGTGCTAGCAATATTACTTTAGATATCACTGTCCAATTTCAATAAAAATAAGTTTTAGGGTTTTGGATTTAGGGTTTGGATGACTCTTGAGCTATGTTCAGGCTGATGTTGCTCATGGAGTCATATTTGTGGTTGTTTTCATTGTAAGCTGCATTATGTGTTCGTCATTCTATTTCTCTCTTAGGTTGTAGGGCCAGTTTGTATAAACAGCATACGAATTTTCACCAAGTTTGATACAGTTTATATGGGGTTGCCAATTCTATTTGCTTCTAAAAGTCCTTTTAAGCTTACCTTGATAAGCTCCTTAGTATAGCTTATTCAAATAAGTTCAGAAGGGCTTTCCAAAAGTCACAAGCTCTTTTCAAAAGCCTATACAAGCATAGACACGATTCATACGAACAGCAGTGCTTGTAGCACTAGAACTGCTGAAAATAAGCTCTTCCGAGCAGGACCTTAAACTGTGTTGTTGTGAGTTGCCTCGGAGAAAATTCAGTATTAATGAAAATGAATAGTTTAATTTTCAATTTTAAATCTATTATTATTGTGTACTTTTGGTTACTTAGAAGTATAACTATGTGTTGCAGTGAAAATTGGTAGGCCTGGCTATCGGGTGACAAAACAGTTTGATCCAGAGACAAAACAAAGATCTCTCCTTTTTCAGGTTTGGCTAGTCTCTCTCTCTATAATCTATACCACATTCTTGATGTGTATAACATTCCAGAGTAAAACATGCTTATTGTAATTAGATTCTTGGTTCTAGTTGGCTTTACTCCACAAGAACAAGAGTTGGATCAGCCAATATTTTTACTCTGTAAAGAAATAAATGTTACTGTACTGTTAGCTACCAAAGCTGAGAAGAGGGGTTACTTTCCATATTGATTATAAGAAGTGGCTAAACAATTGTTTGGCATAAAATGAGTCAGGAATTCACATTTGGCGTAATGGTGCTAGGATGTGATAGTGAAAATCCCATTCAGATAAATTATTTTAAGCAGAGTGTCTTTGCTCCATGAGAAGAGGAGTTAGATTAGCAAATATATATACTTTTTCTTTGCTTTTTCCTTATTGAGTTATGTTGCTCCGGAAGATGCTGACATGTGTAGTGGCTTTGGTGGTTGGTGCAGATTGAATATCCTGAGATTGAAGACAATACAAAGCCAAGGCATAGATTTATGTCCTCCTTTGAGCAGGTTTGTAATATCTTTATAGAAGTTGTATTTTGAAGGGCTAAAGTGTTTTCCATAGAATATTAATACTCATCACAGAATTTCCTTGAATGTAAGTGCAAAGAATTCTCTTTATATATTTGAACAGTATGCTTAACTTCGTTTTATTTTTTTATTTTTATTGGCAGAAAATCCAGCCATTTGACAAAAGATATCAATATCTTTTGTTTGCTGCAGAACCATATGAGATCATTTCTTTTAAGGTAACTCCCATATGACGGGCAGGATTCTTTAATTTAACCTGTGATTAGGTATGTGTTTTGTTTAATGGATTGGCTCTCAACTCCTATGCATTTGTTCTAGGTACCAAGCACAGAGATTGACAAGTCAACTCCAAAATTCTTCTCACATTGGGATCCAGACACAAAAATGTTCACGGTATGTTTTCTCTGGAGTCATCAATCTGATTGAAACTTTGTCATCTTGGCCCCTTGGGTGGGTGACATACACATGCCACCTAATGGGTTACAGAAGACTGTGTGTGTCGATTATTATTATTTTTTAATTTTTTATATAAAGTAATTTCTTGTTAAAGAATTATCTGACATTTTCCTGTGGGTGACTTCATTTTATAGTTGCAATTACACTTCAAATCAAAGCCACCAGAAGCAAACAAACCTCAAGCTGCTCCGACAGCTAATGGGACTGGAACTCCTGCTCCACCAGCTCAGGCTCCACCGCCACCACCTCCACCACCACAAGGACTCCCCCCTGGAGCTCCACCAAGGGGCCCACCCTCTGCACCTGGATCAGTCCCCCCTCCACCTCCCCCCATGGCTAATGGACCACCTAGACCCATGCCTCCAGGTGGTGGTTTGCCTGCACCACCACCTCCTCCAGTTGGTAGTGGTCCTATGCCAAATTTCATTATGGGGAGGCCTCCAATGATGCCTCCACAAGGTTTTCCAGGTCAAGGAATGCAGCAGCCTCCACCACCACCACCCAACATGGGTTGATGAAAAGATTGCACCCTAAATTCCGAGGCCCCACCGCTCTTGCTATGGAGCCCTAGGTTGATGAGCTTGAGTTTTTGTCATCGTTGCACCTGTACCAAATATTACCCATCACAATTATGGAGTAGTCTTCTAATCAATACATGTCACTTTCTTCCTACCGGAATTGTCTTAATATATACATCATCCTTTTGTTGTCGATTAGCTTCTTAAAACTTTTGAGAATATCTGGGCATATTTCCTTTCCTATTCCATGAGTGCTCTATCTGCTCTCTATCATCCTTAATTGTCCAATTTTCAATCCAATTCCCGTTAATAGTTCAGTAAATGATGCAACATATTTGAAAGTAAAAAATACTAAGGTGGTGGTTGTATTCAGTATCATTATGTCTGTTGCAGTGATGCCAGAAGTTTTGTTATGCTTATCTACTTTTTTGGCATAGGAATCACATAATTCTTAGTTTTGAGTTCTTGAGCTAGCATATCTTCAATTCAAGTAAGAACATGGTAGTGCAAGGGGTTATGCCCCCAACTAGTTCTATTATCCATTTGATAAAAAATTCTTTTCCCTTCAATTCACAGTATGTTTGATTTATTAACTCTTTTTGTGTGTGTGTGTGTGTACCTTGAGGTTTTGTTTGTGTTCCTTCTCAATGTAGTTCTGTTCCATAAATAAAAAGTATTATTTGTGTACCTAAAGTACGTTATTTGAGTACTATAATTGTGTAGGTCATGAATACAAGGTATATTTTTATATACTAAAAGTACATTATGTACATTATTTGATAGTATACAAAATTTGCAATTGTCATACCAAGTGATATTCTTCTTTAGTCTTTTTGTATTTTTTTAGTGCTACTGACTATATTACAATTGTAGTACATGTTTATACATACTTTCTCAACCTATTGAAGCACAAAGAGTTAATGCCCTCCTCCGGAGTTCGAACTTGTGACCTTTTATTTGGGAGAGACAGAAATACCATTGTGCTACAAGCTACTTGGCCGTCTCTATGTATTTGCTTTTGTGATTTTCACATCTTTCTACCATCTATGTCTCATCTAAATTTTCACAAGACAAAGAAGCAGCCACAACCATTAGCTGTGGATTAGATGAGTGTTGGTTTTCCAAGGATGGTGAAGTGGAGAAAAATGATGGATGGCACTTGTTGGTTTTCCAAGGTACCTATTAGGATTCTACAAATATTTATTTGGATTCTTGTAAGAGAGGTTTTATTGTGATAAAATTCCACCGTGATCGCGATGGAGTCATATCCCTTTAAATTCGGCCGGAGGTTTGGTAAGGTAAAATTTTCAAGAAGCGGGTTGGGACATTGCTTGTGTTTACTCTCCATCACTAACGACTTCTTGCAGCTCGGAAAATGGGGGACTGGCGATGGATATATTGAAAATTGACCTGGAACAAACTGACCCGGTAGAGCGAAGCAAGAAGGATTCGAGTGGACCCAGAGCCTCCGCCCCGTGCTCGACCAGGGCTGCCTAGGCCGAGCCCAGCTTAGGCCCGAGACCGCGCTCAGCCTGGGCCTCGGCCTAGGCCCCAGGCCGCGCTCGGCTTGGGCCTCGGCTTAGGCCTCGGCTTAGGCCCCAGGTCATGCCTGGCATGGGCCTCGATTTTGGCCCTGGAGGGGCCGTGCGCGGTCAAGGAAGTTGCAACCGATGCATTTTTAGGGGAATGGTTAGGAGCTCTTTAGGATAAATAGCCATCTAATTGTCTTGATAAGACATCTTTATCTCAATTGTCTAACACCCAATCTATTGTAATAGCATTACACAACATTCTTCAATACAAAATTGTCCTTGTGACACATATCCATTGTCTTTCCATTATATTATCCACAGAGTTGTAAAAATCGGTCTAGGCGCTCGCCTAGGCGCTAGGCGCCTCTAGACCGTGGCGATTCCTCCCTAGGCGCCCGCCTAGGTTATCGGCCGCCTAGGCATCCGCCTAGCGCCTAACTCGGCCGATTTGGCCGCCTAGCGTCTAAGTTAGTCGAGTTAACTCGTCAATTTCGGTCGAGTTAAACCGATCGGCTCGACCTATTTTTTTTATTATATGTGTGTGTACACTCGTAGACTAGTTTGATACTTTGAATCTTTGGATGATTGAAGTATTTGAGTATTCATATTTGAGTATTTTTAATTTTTAATATTGTTTTAATGTTTTTTTTTTTTTTTTTTTGAAAACCATTGTTTTGATGTTACTTATGAATTATCATTGATTCATTTATTTGGATGTGTTATTTGATTAAATATTGAAAACAACCTCATTAAAATTGTCAAACTGCAAGTCTACCACTGTTTTTTTGGCGCCCGCCTAGCGCCGCCTAGATTCCGCCTAGGCGCTAGGCGCTGTTCGGGCGCCCGACTAGCGCCTAGCGCCTACTGCAACCATGATTATCCATATTATTATTCCTTTGTTTATGCCTTCCTTTATTTACCGGGTTAATTAAATCCATCATAGAATAAGATAGACCAACTAGTCGCCTTCTCAGGCGAAGGAGCAGGCAGACAAGTTGGTCGTCTCCTCCAAACGCGACGGTCGCCGGTGATTATTGCTAGAAAGTGTAGGAAAGGTCGTTGGAACCCTAGGTAACCTGTAATTATAGGTTACTAACCGGTTTCTAGGCTTAAATGCTTCAAAATAATATGATTATGGATTTAATTGTAACTTTTAAAAGTTTAAGGGCCTAATTGACTTTTTGAGTAAAGTTCATGTGCCTATTTGACCTTTTTCTCTTGAATTTTCTATCACCATAAAGTAGTCGGAAATGACCTTATTCCGGTCGAAAACTCGTGTTCTGACCATTTACGGTATCCACAAAAACCTTCATCGCTATTTCCAACCACCACATGAAGTTGTCAGAAATAACGTCCACTATTATAAAGTGGTCGAAAATATTGGCCACTCAGCAAGATCACAGGTTTACAATTTTTGACCTTAGGAAGGGGGCCCAAAGGTTGAAAATTGAAGCTTATCACGAAGAAGTGGGCAAATTATATCGTGCACTCTTGAACGATTTTTTTTTTTTTTTTTTTTTTGGAAATTCCGTGTCTCGTTTCTGTCGTTATCTTCTAAAATAAAATTATTTGTTTCGTATGTACGGAATTGTATAGTAGAATACATATAAAGTCATAAACTCCTAACATAATACACATAATCTAACTCTATAATAAAGCAAGAAGTTTTGCCAATCATTAGTTCCCGCCCAATGAAAACGACGCAGTTTTGGTATAGCTAACGATCTGGACTTAATTCCTTTTTTACTGTGCGCGTGTAATGGAAATTCGTATTGGGAAATACCTAGCCGTTCTTATTATTACACAGTCCTTGGTTCCCAAGGAGTTCAATTAATGTAGAACTCTTTGGTATTGTAACCAAGATCACTACTATTAATATCTACAAATCCTAATGAACTGCTACGGCATACAAGAAACAATTAAATAGAGATTACAAACATTACATACATACCTAGATACATAGAATATGCAGAGTTGGTATATTCAAATTTACATTAATTGAGATGTGCGATTTCCCAAACTTAGAATGCCGGTATCTCCTTATTTTTGAATCTTCAGTATGTATAAATACCGGCCTTCTTCATGGCAGTACACTTCAGAAAGTTATCACAGTTTACAGCCTTTTAGAAACCAATCTTTGCTGTTTCAACATGCCTTCCATGTTCCTTGCCGTGAGAAACATCAAGCCGGAACACCAGCAAAGGGCAATACGAGTGAGAGCAGTTCGTGTGTTTGAAGTTCCTGAAAAAAGGGGAGAAGGTCAGGTTAGTAAGAGCATGGAAGTTGTGTTCCATGATGAAGAGGTAATTTTAGCTATTTTCACATATGATTTTGTCTACTAACTCCTGTCATTTTATCTAATAATCTTACTGTGTTTTCCTATCTATAATCTTCTCATATAATGTTCTTTCAATTAAGCTTCTATAACTGTTTTGCTGTGTACATTTTGTTTACTATTGTATTCGCAGGGAGACTACATTCATGCGAGTATCATCAAGAAAGACATTGTCAAGTATAAAGATATAATCAAGGAAGGGAAAATTTATGAAATAAAGAACTTCATGGCCTCTACAAACTACTACGTGTACAAGATTACAGAGCATGGTTTCCTGCTGAAATTTAACTACAGAACACAAGTCAAGGAAATACATTCTACTGGCTTTCCTTGCAAAATGTTTAGATTAAAGAGTTTTGTGGCTTTGAAAGATCCTGAGGATGTCAATGACAAGGAGCTGATTGGTACTAAATTTACATTTCCAAACTGCTAATATCTTCTTTATTATACTTTTAATATAATACTGCTAATATTTTGTTCGTTTTGCAGATGTTATTGGAAGGGTAACTGAGATTTACAATCCCGTTGACAAGATTGTGGGGGGAAAGGCTACCAAACTAATAGACTTCCAACTTGAAGACAATGTGTAAGTTTATTAAAATAAATTTGATTACCTTATAAATTCATGCAATTTTTTTTTTAATAGTTTTGGTTTTTTTCTGTTTCTAATGTAGTGATAACACCATCATGTGTACACTGTGGAATGAACATGTTTCTTCCCTGATGCCTTTTTACAATAGTGATTCTAAAGAACCACTGATTGTTGTAATTCAATGCTGTAGGGCCAAAGTTGTGGGTGGTGAGTTTTTATACTGTTTTTTCTTCTAATCTATATATTCAAATACTGTATTTTATATCATAATATATATCATAATATACCTCTAAAAATACACTTCTCTATTTTATGCATTTTTTTTAGGTGAAGTGAGAATAACCAGTTCCTATGATGCTACGAAGCTGTGGTTTAATGAGGATTGGGAAGAGTTTAAAGAGTTTAGGTCAAAGTAAGTTCCATCTTTTATATTTCTCCTATTTTTTAGTTTTCTGCTAATTGTCTTGCTATCTTTATTAATGTGTGCTATACTTTGTATTTCTGAATTAACACAATCCATATATTTCATTTTATCATCTGAATAATGGAGAAAAAAAAAAATATACTGTGTATATATACTTAAATACCATGCTGTACAGTGTACTCAAATATATTTGAGTACACTGAACTGCATATCTAAATAAAAGATAGATAGTTTAAATGTTGTCTACTCTATTTTTGTAAGTTGTTTTAGACACATCTAACTAAGTTTCTAATGTTTTGAAGCATGAAAGCTCAGGGTACTCCAATGCGGAGTCTCAGTACTGGCACACTGCATTCCAACTCTACAGGCATTAGTGATTTTCATAATGCTTCTGTTATTGTGACTAACTGCCATGACATTAAGAAGGTGAAAGAGGTAATCCACATACTAAGCTATCGATCTTTTCTGTAGTTTGATGGGACTGAAATTATTAACTGTTATATATACTTATGAAATTGTTTGAATACTATAGGATGGGGACTATTATGTTGCTGCTGAGATTCTCGGGTTAGATTTTGAGGATGGTTGGTACTACTTATCATGCCTGAAACTTGGATGTAATAAGAAGCTTAAAGAACAGGAAGGGACACTTTTCTGTACTAAGTGTAAGAAGAATTGTATGATGGGTCAAGTTAGGTACAAAGTTGTTGTTATTGCTCTTGACAAGTTTGGAGATGCTCCAATGTTGCTTTGGGATAGGGAAGTTACAGAGCTTGTGGGTATTCCTGCCTCTATTTTGTATGCAAAATACAAGGAGGTAAATTCTTATTACCTAATGTCTGCATTTTTTGGCCTAAACTGTTTACATTATCTGTTCTTAACTTGGTTATTTGTTCACTATCTAAACAGCTTGATGTTGAAGTGCCCCCTGAATTGGATGCTATAGTTGGTATGAAGATGCTGTTTAAGATCAACTTCAAACTTGCCCAATAGATGGGTCCCAATTACCCATTCAATGTTGTTAGGGTTGTAAGGGATGAGCACTTGCTTAAGACGTATGCTGACAGATTTGTGGAGCATGAAGAGCAAGACTTAATGTCAAGGATGATTGATGAGGAAACTAACACTGATGCAGTTTCTGGAGTAAGAATTTCTAACACTAAATTTTGAGATTTTTTATTTTTTTGGTTACTAATAGTGTTGTCTGCTTTTCTTTCTAATAGGAAGATTCGATTAGGGTTGAAGTGAACAGTCCTGCGACTGTCGAGCCCTCGCAAAAGGAAGGAGAAGACAATGCAGAAAATGTTGGTGCTATTAAAAGGTCACTTTTGGATGAGTTTTCATCATCCAAAAGTAGGAAGAAGTTGAATGACTCAGAAATCAAAAAGGAAAAGATGTAATTGAGATTGATGGTTGAAAGAGATTGTTGATAGCCGGACACTATCCAGACATTTTTTTTTTTGTTTTTCCTAATACTGTGGTGTGACAATTTTTTATTTTCAGTTTTATGGATGGTTTATAACTTTTATCTAATGCTTTTAGTAATTTCCTAACTGTTTAGTACAATAAATTGGTGTATGTACTGCTATTCGAACCTGTTTTGGAGTTTTTCTATTTTTCCTTTCAGGTTTTTCAGAAAAAGGATGAAAGGTGTCCAAGTTGCAGCAAAGATGTTAGGGTTTAGGGTTTTAGAAGGCAAACAGGATGGAAATACTTTGGTAAGCAATTTAGAGTTTGAAGTTGTGTTTTTCATATGTTCCTATTGCCAACTCTAAGACTTTATATCTAAATATGTTGTGCCTGTTTTGCAGCAAACATGCTAGGTGGCCAAGTTTTTAGAAGGCAAACAGGATTGAAATAGTTTGGCAAGCAAAGTCGGTTTTAGGGGTCCACAGGATGTAAATAGTTTGCCAAGCAATTTAGACTTTGAAGTTGTGTTCTTTGTATGTTCCTATTCCCAATTCTAAGACTTTATATCTAAAATATAAAGTGCGTATAAAATATATTTTGTTTCAATTACCTATTTGCACAATCAGCTTGACTGTGTATGCAATTCTAAAACTTTACATGTAAATGTACTGTTCTTAAAAAAGGGTGTTAGTTGCAATTACCTATTTGCACAATCTTCCTTTACTCCGTTTGCAGCTATCCAAACAACTGCTCTTCAAGCTGGAATCCATCAATGTGTTCTAGCACATTTAAATAGATATCAGATAAAAGCAACTAAAAGAAGAATTTTGTCAAGTCATTTAGGTCATGTAAAAAAAGGGTGTTAGTTCCAATTACCTATTTGCACAATCTTCCTTTACTCTGTTTGCATCTATCCAAACAACTGATGTTCAAGCTGGAATCCATCAATGTTTTCTACCACATTTAGAAAGAAATCAGATAAAAGCAACTAAAAGAAGAATTTTGTAAGTCATTTACATTACTGTTTTATGTAGATATAAAACAAACATTCTACTTTAAACGGAAAAATGTTTTTATCCTACACAAATCTGACTTTTATAGTAATATAAAATCCAATAATTTAAAAAAGCCCAGATGTCAAATATAATAGAAATACAAATTGATTAACACTGTCAATACTTGAGGACCATTTGTGACACAAAGACATTTTTCAACGTGTCTATTATTAATAAAATAAATTTGTTTCTGCCAATAAAAAACAATTAAATAATCTCCTTATACATAGAAGAACATTATACCAGTTTTAAGCAAATAGTAAAAAAAAAAAAAGGAATTTATATTACTGTTTTGACAAAAAAAAAATGAGAATCTGCTTTTAAAAAAGAGTTTATCATGCAAAAAAAAATCACTTATAGATGAACCAAGTCTAAAATACTGCATCAAAAACAAGATGTCAAAGACAATATAATTATTAATAAAATAAAGGAATTTGGTCGATAGTCGAGCACCATTTCCCGAACAAGGACATTTTACTGAATGTGTCTAATATTTACAAAATAAAGTTAGTGCTTGCAATATAACACAGTGAAAGAATATTATGATATATACAGAATAGTTATACCAGTTTTGACCAAAGAGAAAAAAAAAAAGCTATTACCATTACTTTGCTAACATTACTCAATTCTATACTTATATAGAACCAAACAATGCACCCAAATTAAAGGCCAGTGATGGAACAATATTGCCTTACAAATTAAAGTGAACAAACTTACAAACTATGCAAGTATATCCATACAAACTAATCTAACTACAGCCAAGTAGAGAGGAAGTCTTAACCTATTTCGTTGTATGACCCTATTGCTTTTAGTGGTCTTTGATTGATTGTTTTTTTTATGACAGCTGCTCTTCAATTTCTTCAAAGCTTGATGATTTCATTCTAATAAGAATAACAACAAAAAATATTGTTAGAATTTGTGTTCAGGATATTTAATAAGAGGAAAAGCATACACTCGCATAAAGTGAACAAAGTTACAAACTATGCAAGTATATGCATACAAACTAATCTAAAGACAGCCAAATAAAGATAAAGTGTTAACCTATTTGCTTATATGACCATAATGCTTTTAGTGGTCTTTGATTGCTTTTTTCTTTTCTGGGACCCATTCTTCAATGTCTCCATAGCTTGGATTATTCCATTCTTAAAAAAATACCCAAAAAAATTAAAATGGTTAGAATGTGTTCATAATAATCATTAAGTACAATCAAATAATCCATGTATGTGTTCAATGTTCTTAGAACAGTCTTACAAACTGTGCAACTATAACAGTGCAAAGTCATCTAATGTAACACCAATCAAGATATAGTCTTAACTTATTTTATGATGTGGCCGTAGTGATTATTTTCTGCTTGCTGCTCTTCAATTGATCTAAAAAGAATAAAAAAAAAGTTAGACTTTCTGTCAAGAATAAATAATACCAACACATACATTGAATAAATTGTCCGGCACATTTAGAAAGAAATTACATAACAGCATTACAATTCAAGATTGGTAAATTAAATAACATTAGTGTGTTAACTAAAAAAAAGAAAATATACTTTTATTTGAAGAATAATGTCAGCCACTGCCATAAGAGAAAAATGAATAGTTCTAGAACCAGTGAGTAATTGGGTGTGTGTTCCATGTTCTTACAAATCAGCTAAAGAAATTGGATCAGTGGGAAATATTGGCCTGTTAAGTATTACTTAATCATTCTTAGGAAAAGAAACACATTTCCTAAACATTAAATACAATTGATGGGCTGCTATCATTACTATTAAGAGAAAACTCTTCAGTTCCAATCCTATTTTCAAAAACCAGGCAAAAGTAAAATAAAGTACAATGAAGCCATATGATCAGCTTTGCCCCATCTAACTACCAACACAGTTCTCCAGTTTCAGACCAAAGGTAAAGACACAAATCACATCTACATTTTCAAGTAAACACAATAGACAGAGCAATGAGGAAAATCACTAAATCAACAATTTTAGGCATCAAAAGGAAACCAAGTGATGAAAATAAAGGTAAGTTCGAAACTTATCTTTTTCAGACTTCGAATTAAGCTTCATTGTAGCATCCTCTTCATCTGCGGTTCTGTTTATGCTCTCTATCTCCTCAAAAAATTCCAGTATGTTCATAAAAAACAACATGATAAAGTCGAAAACAGGTTAGGGTTTGTGTGAATAATAATATAGCTATACCATTTTGAAAATAACTGTTAAACAGTTAAGAGTACTTTCTCTTTGGTGTTTTTAGAGCAACATTACAAAAAATACGATTTAGAACCCTAATGGCTATGAAGAGGACAAATCTGAAATCAAAAAAATTCAGCTATGATTGTTGATATGCATGCATAGATCAAGAAACGTAGATCAAATTTAGAACAAACAACAACGAAAAGTAGGAAACCTAAACAAATTTAGTGTAGATTGACAAATTAATAATCTTAGAATTGGAGAATTACCTTCACTGAAACGCGATTGCCACGATTTACCGTTGTTGAACACTAAGATCTTTCACAGAAAGGAAAGATCGGGATTGTGTACTGCTAATCGGATCGATGCTAAGCGAGACCCGACTCCAATTTCGCCGGGAAAAATGTTCAATAAGAACAGTTGAATCGGAGATTAGGACTTAGGACTGATCTAGATTTAGGCTTGACAGAGAAAGATAGTAAGATCGTAGGGATAGGTGAAGAACAGATCTCCGATTCAGACATGAGAGCAAGGAGAGCTCAAGAGAAGGAAAAGGGTAGACCCTTCTTCCTCTTCTCTCGAAATTCCGACAGAATAAACAATAATATTGGATATATTATTGTATATATATATATATATATATATATATATATATATATATATTATATGCGGAAAATTATATATATACCGAAAATAATATATTTAAAGAGTTTAAAGATATAAAATAATAAATAAATATATAGATATGTATATAGTTGTTTATTTATTTATTTAATTTTTAATTGTTATGTGTAATTAATTAGATATATAATCTTAACAATTGTAATGGTATTTATTGTGGACAATGTTATACTTAAGATTTTGTCAAATAAAATTAGTGTTACTATATAGCCATTACCATTTCAGGTTATATATATTTCACAATTAGATTATCCGTAAGGTGTGTTTAGTGGCACACCACTAATTTGTAAATAATTGTGCGGTAAATCTTTAACAATTTGAAATTAAGTATGTACTGTTAGTTGTATTATGTGTAATTCATTTTTATGATTTTTAGTTATTTGGATTATTATTAAATTTAATGTTGTATTTTAATTCGCAGAAAATGAATTGGGCAACTCATTATCAAGGAATAATTCTGATCAAGGAAAACAACAGTCTCCGACAAGAAATCCTGCCCGCATTCCTCTTGGAGGGGGTTTGTCTCAAAACATCACACCCTTGAGTAACGTGACTAACGGTAAATCCACTAAGTTCAATTGATATAGCATCGTTGTGAATTTATAAAACCTTTTTATAAGTCTACTTATTATGTAAGTCTTATTTAAAACAATTACAATTTACAATCATAA